AATAGCCACAATTTCAAAAGTAATCGAAATTTAGTCACTTTTCATGTAAAGATAAATCTAAACGAAAACACTGTTCAAAATTCGAAAAATATTCCAGCATAATATACTGTAGTTCGAATTTTTTGCATGTGAACTTTCATCATAATATACTGGTCCAACATAATATGTTGGAAGTTCATACACAAGTGCTCCAATATCTAGTATATTATGCTGGAACTTTCCGTGTGCTGGAGTTCCAGCATAATATGCTGGAAGTTCATACATAGGAGCACCAATCTCCAATATATTATGCTGGAACTTTCCGTGTTGCATCAAAATAGTGTTTATTTTTTAATGACTTTGCAAACGCTGGGTATTTTTCAATTACCAGTCCGAAAACTGGCTAGCACGCGTTATTTTCCCCTTATATACCCAGCATCTCTCATGTGCTTTGTCGATGTGGGATTCGCCTAGGGTGTCACATACACCCCTCCCCTCCCCCCTAGGGACTCAGCGTCCTCGTTGAAGTTTGTCCCACCACCGTTCAAGATTGCATGCGGAGTGGCTCTGATACCATATGTAACAGCCCAACCCACTAATGATATTTTTCGTCTTGGGTCTAGAACCGTACGGCTTTAAAATACGTCACCAAGGTCTAAGGTCTGTATACTTATATACCCAACATCTCTCTCGTGTTTTATCGATGTGGGATTCGCCTAGGATGTCACATGGGGGCTTGAGCTCGCCATAATAAATGCCTCTCAGTATAAGATCCTTCCAAACTGATTCCATTCGGTCAAGGCAATTAAAAGATCTCGCAAATTTTCAAGCTAGCTACGTTATATCTATGCTTACTATTTTTCTAATTTGGGATCCATGACCTCATTTAAATTTTAGAAGGTAACTCTTGTATTTTCAATAAGCATATTGTTAAAAAAATCGTTCATGGTGTGTTGACATTCCGTCTAAGAGGAAAAATGTCTCAAGAATAAATGCTCGAAAGGGTGTAAAGTATCACTTCCTAGACTTCTTGGATTTAAATTCTTTAACAAAAGGTGTACACTCATTTGCTCGACTTGAAACGAGGCTTAGAATAGGACGGTCTTCTTTTTCTATAAGCATATGATATTCGAAAGGAATTTTTACCTTCCTATACTATATATGAAACTTTATTACCTTCACTAATCAAGTTTTAACTTAATTACATGGCCATATACAATTTATCAATTATATACAAATTAGTTTTAAATGGGTATCCATTTATATTAGAAATTGAATAAGGAATCAGTTATTTTACATATCTGTTCTCTCTCTCCCCTGCGCTCTCTCTCTCCGTCTCTCTTTCTCTCCTTCGCTCTCTCTCTCCATTTCTCTTTGTCTCTCTATCTCTCATTCTCTATTTTTTCCCAATTTTTCTTCCTCTGATGTTCTCTACTTTTTATCCTTTCATGTTGTATATATTTTTAATAGAATTCATCAATGGATTTCAATCGTTTTACTATAAAGTTTTAACTTAATAATTTCCTTTCATGTTGCACAATTGGTGTTCAAATTAAAATTGTCAATCAATAAATTTTGAAGATGTTTGACTCTCCACCATTGACAGCCATTAAAAAGCTTTAAAGCTTTGAATTCGAATTTGAATTTTTAAAAAACCACTATTGTTTGGATTGGGTGTTGTTGCAAACAATTGAGAATATTATTTGGAGTTTATATCTCAATTTTGAGGGTGTTAGGTGAAGATTAGACTTGATTTTGGCTGAATTTCAGATTGAAACTCTAAGAAGAAGAAGAACACATGACATACAATATACTTACGAAATTGTAGTAAAGTTGTATTATAATTGTATTCTATTGTAGTTATATATATATATTTTTATTTGAATGTTGTATGAAAGTTGAGAAATAGCTATATAATGTATGAATCATTGTATAAAATTTGTATTTAAGTTATTAATACTATCTTTTTATATAAAGTTGTTGATATGTATCAAAATTGTACTAAGAGAGAAAGTTTTGATTGAAATTTTAGAGAGGAAGAAGCACACACCACATACAAAATATATACAAATCAGTTACAAAATATATAAAATATACAAAAGATATATTGAATAAAATTTGTATGAAAATTGTATTTAAGTTATTTGATGTTGTAGATGTAATTTAACTGGGTAAAAATAATGTATGAAAGTTGTAGATAAGTTGTAAATAAATATATATTATATAATTAGTTGTATGAAATTTATTTTTAGTATGTATGTTGCTGTAAATATATCAATTTGTATTAAATTTGTACGAAATTTATTTTTAAATTTGTATGTTATTGTACCATCAAATTGTATAATATTAATTTTAAGTACAATGTATCCATTTTAGTGCTGATTTAAATAGGTTTCTTTAATTTGTGATAGATTAGTGTATTGGGTAAGTTAACCAATCAAGTAAATCGGAATACTTGACTGACCTCGCACGATAGTTATTAACCTCGTAAAATCTTTGGACAAACCAATGAACTGTTTCTTCGAATCCTCAATTCCTACGACCTTCTTACTAGGTATTGAATTTATCTCTTGAAAAAGACTATCAAACTGCAGGATAATCCGATTTTCGAGAGAGCACAATACAATAACATTGTGCATTGTTAAAGTTTCATACTTAGTGGGTAGCTTTCTTCTTGAGGTATTGAACTAAGAATTCTTCATCTGTGAGGTGAAAACGGAAGAAGGTGGAAGTTGAGGCTGCTGATGTGAGTCGCTTGATGAATCTGCACTCTACATTAACTTAGAATAAAGGATCAATTTCCTTTTATTCTATTTGACAAGAGCTAATTGCTAGATTACAATAATAATATAATAGTCGTAATTAATAACAAGAAGAAGAGTACAAACTTGATGAATTGGTAGGAAAATTCTACTTTCAGATTTCGTATCTTTAGCAGAGAGAAATGATGTGTAGTTTGTGTTTGGTACAAAATTACAGAGAATCAACTGGAAATTAGATTGTTTTACAAGCAATTAAGGCAACAGAAAAACAAGGAAAGAGGAAGGAGAAAAAAGGAAAATTGTGTAACTGAATCCCCTAATTTAAGACATTAATAATGGATTGTATATAATTTGTAATAAAAACTTGTTTAGGGTGGGTAATATAGAATATTTGAACAATTTTGGCAAATAAGTCTCATATATCACTGTTTACTTTACCAATTATTTTACGGAAATTATATGCTAGTTGTACATATTATACATGAATTATACATCGGCCGGCTATTTAGGTTAGTTTTTCTATATTTGAAAAACAAACCCTATAAAATCTTATTTAAAGTTAATTTACTAGATTTGAGATACAAGGTTAATAAAAAATCATAATCAAGTTCTTCAAATAATTCGTTTTCAATCTTGAAAATATATCTGATCCATTTAATCTCTCTCAATACATTATTGATCTAGGTAAGAGTTTAATAATTTTAATTATAAAAATTTTGCTTCCACTTAAGCAATTATTACAGGAACAATTAACATTATTCGCTAAGCAATATATGCAGGTATTTGAAAAAGAAACAATTCTTTTTTTCAAGATTAAATAATGTATCTTTTAAGAAAACATATACAAATACTAACTATTAGTAAGAAACTTTGGGGCCCTACAACTTGTGAGGCCTAAAGCAGTTGCTTTAGCTGCTTTACCTATAAGTCGCCCCCGTAGTAGGCAAACCTCAGTGTTGAATTTAGACGAATCTCACATCTTTGAGATGATAGAGCAAAACTCTGCAAGGACACTCAGTCCTTGAATGTGGTTTATATATTCGACATCCTAAGCAAATCTCACATCAACAAAAGACGGAAGAGATGCTGAGTATTATATAAAGAAGTCTAGACCCTGTAATGCATTTTAAAGCCATGCAGGCCTAGGTCCAAAGTTGACAATATCTCTAGTGGACCTGACTGTTACAGTAAACGAGAGATTTTATGCTCAGAGAAGAATACTGCTCAAATTCTGTGTTTTGATTAAATCTTGAGGGTTCGTTTGGTAGAGTGATTAGTTTGTTAGTTCGTTTAATTATGCTGGGATATTTTTTATCGGTTGTTTATTTTGGTGTATTAAAAATAACATGTATTGCACAATTTTTTTTAAAAATTATTTGTTTATAAATATACTCTCCACATGTGTTGGAAAGAATTTGGAAACGGTTTTGAAAGGACGGTTATGTCTTTATACATACTTATTCATGTATTAAAAATCGTGGTATTACTAAAGTTATAATTTGCTATGTATAAGAATAGTACTAGTACTAGGGTATTTAACTTACAAGTATTAGTTATACATAGGTTAAAAAAAATTACCAAACAAGAGATTAATATTACCAAAGCTAATACACGTATTATTTTCCCTAATACATCCTCCCAAACGACCCCTCAAAAGAAAGAAAGAGAGAGAGAATGATCACACGAAATCAACACAAGCGTTACCTCCTCCATCCCAGATAATCAGCTAAGAGATTATAGATTCTGTTGACGGAATATGATAACAAATAATCAGCTAAAGATAATAGATTCTACAAACAGGTTAATAGTTACAAGTACAAGAAGTGTATGATATTGATACAATGATAGAAGTCATAGAACAATTATTCTACTAGAGCAATATATATACACTACAGGTATTAATACCATCTGCTTGGCAGCAGTATTTGACCCCAGCAGAAATCCAAGCTTATATGGTTTTATTAATTTTTATTTTAAATAGAGGTATGTATATATTTTGGTCATCACAGAAAAGGAAAAAGATTTTACCTGTCAAGCATCAGCATAGGAAAGAAAGTGTTTCAGACAAAACAGGAAATTTTGCAATGCAACCAAAGGGAGGAGTAAGAAAGCATCAAAAAGAAAATGTCCTCAAGTTCATTTTAGTATAAAATATTTTAGCATAAAAGTTAGCTGATTTCTTATATGAGAACAGGGCAGCAGCTGACAGAAAGAAATCCTCATTACTTCAATTCAATGAGTTAAAATTTTCTGTGGAGCTATAATAAAGTTTTGTAGCTAAGTTTCTCATTTAATATAAGAGATATATATATATATATATATTTATGTTTGATAAGACAACAAAAAGGAAGAGCAAGCAAAGGAGATCATGGAGAATAGCTAGCTCCCTTCCCTTGCTCTGCTGGATGTGTGAGTATAACTCTGAACAACGGCCGCTCTTTACATTTGCTTCAAAACTCACTGCAGTTTCTAACCTAAACCTTTTCCTTCCAACAAAACATTCACCCTTTTTCGTCCTGGTTCCTGCACTGCTGAAATCAGCAGTTAGTGTCGTTCTTCATTAGCCACTGCTGTCTCTGCACCACTATCATCTATCTTTCCGTTGCCCTCTTGTGTTTCTACTTCACTATCCACGTTATCTTTCAGAGAAGCAGTGGTATCTCTAAGAGAACCTGCACTGTCCTTTTCTGAAGAAGTTGGATTTTCAGCAGGATTGTTGCCAGTGGCTGAAGCCCCAGAGCCTGGAGGAAGGAAAACGCCAGTGCCAGGGAGTGGAAGTCGTGGTGGGGGATGCCTAGGAGGGGGTGCTGCCCATCCACCTGAGGCAGGTGGAAGAGCAACTGGTGCAGGAAAAGCCATAGGCGGTGCAACCGCAGCGGGAACAAAAATTGGCTGGATACCATTTGGAGGAGCTAACTGTGAACGAATAGCTGGAACGGGTAATACGCCGGTTGTTGGCATGGAACCATAATGCTTGGGCCCAAAAGGATGACGGATATGATTTGGTGACCTGCTAGGAGGGGGGACCCACTGGGGGGCAGCACCTCCTGCTGATGAAGAGAAACGCTGACTATCACCAGACTTGAATCTTCTTGGCTGCACCTTTGTAAAGGTCACAAGTATACGCTGCTTACGGATGGATGGAATAGCATGTCTAGCAAAATCGGTTGATTTTCCCTGCATTACAAGTACGGATCTGTGCATTTTCATAGCAGAAAGATTCAGTAGGTGATTAACCAAGAAAAACAATTAAACAGATAAAAGAAGCAAAGTGGAAAAAGAGGCAATGGAACATAAAGTGCCGTGCATATATAAGCATGTGTGTGTGTTATTTTTGCATTCTCAGTCCAAATAAGTGGGATAATCTTGATTTTGGTCTCATAGAAACACATTAATCCTTCTAGTAATTGTGTCAACTAATTGAATGAAATTTTCTGTGGCTTCTACAACCTTTAACCCTTCCCATTTGCTGTCAAGTCCATTAAGACTCTTTTCTTGTCCTAACTTGTCACCATTACACTATTGCAAGTTACTGCAACCTCAAGTTATTTTAGGAAGGGGGATGAGGATTTGTAGTATTCAGTACAAAGTAATTGGAGTAAGGGATGTTTGTGGAGGTTTGAGGAATGGATGGAAGGAACAAACGACATGAAAAGTCCGTGATATTGTTAAAACTTCTTCCAATCCCTTCAACACTTATAGCAAAAGGACAAAATCTACTCATTGAATGCAAATTTGAAGGTTTAATGTGCTAGGCAGGATGATGTAGCAACTTAATTTCGAATCAAGTTATATCAATGAAAAGCGCAATTTCCACTATACATGCACAAGACAAACTAGTAAAAATAAAACAAAAGATATAACAAACCAAACAACAAAGCCCGAGGAAAGGATTACCCTGGTGCAAAAGAGAGTTTGAGAGAGCCTCGATAATCGCCCGGATGGTCCACACCAATCATCTTACCGAAAGTCATTTCACATTCTGTCAAGAACAACATAGCTACAGGCCGCCCATACCAATAAGGCCACATATGAGGTTGTGAGTGGTCCCCCTACAATTAGAAATAATGTATCAAGTCTGCTAAGCTTTCTAAACAAAATCGCCATGACCATAAGAACTAAAACTACTGCTTGTAACCTCATTGAAGATGTCAATAGTGCAAGCATCTGGCTTCGCAGTTAAAACTTGCATAGCACTCAGTCGTTCAATAACATCTTGGAACAAGCCAGGAATCACTTCCATTTTCCGCTCTGCAAAATTTTGATTAACCCCATTAATACACAAGAAAGCAAAGATATATAAGTTTCATAAATGTTAAACATGCCTTTAAATGTTGCAAAGGCAGCTTCATCTTCAGGAGGTGCATCTGCAATGGGTAGGCCCAGCTGGATCATCTCCCTTCCGTGCCCCTTCATCGGTCTCTTTGAGACTATAAATGTCTGTGCTGCTTGTCACAACATTTCTAATCATTGACATCTATATTAAGGCGTCAGATACAAAGGATAGCACTTCAATAACAGGAATCTAATATCCAGATGTGCTTTCTTAATTCATTGCTGTTGCTCATCTTGCATTTGATGAATTTAAGAATACTACAGGATACGAAAAGAACAGTACTCAGACATAAAGTGCACATTAGAGCTGCATCTGGATGACAATTGTTTTTCGTATAAACTTTTATCCCAGTTTTTAGTAGAGATAACAAGTAAAAAGTGTTAGGCCCGAGAAAGTATTTCACATAAGATTGGACCAAACCACTCCACTTCTATTGTTTAAGGATGTAACTACATTCCTCTCTTCTATTACTACGTATAACGTGCCCAGAGAAAATGTAATTTTCAATTTTTACTACTAGTAACAATCACCAGAGAAAGCTCCCCATGCCCCACAAATACCTCAGCTACTATCACATGCTACTGACCTTTATGTTAAACCAAAGACACCAAAATGTAAATTTAGAAATAGCATCCTAATCTTTTTATCAGTAGAAATACTTTTCTAATATAATAGACTTTCCGGAAAAATTAATTTTTTACATTTTCTTTTGGATAAGAACTAGCCTAATCAAGGATGAAGATTAAGCAGATGGAAAAAAAATGGAATAATACAATGCAAAAACTGCATGATGAATATTAAAGAGACAATAAAAGAACAAAAAAATGAATTCATGATCTTAAATTTATGTAAAAGCACAACTTTTTATAACCGAGAAATACCCGAGGGTGGAGGGCCAGCTAGCCTACGGTTCGAAACTTGGTGGATAATGGGTCTATCCCTCTACCCTTCTCCACACTTTAATACTAGGCATTTTGTCTACAGTAGAGTTCAAACCTGTGTCATGCACCTAATCCACACATCACACATTGCACGTTTATTTGCTTTGTTCAACAGAAAACGGTGAACTGCGGGAAGCCTACTAAAGTTGTTTTTTCTTTTGTGGAAATTGAGCTTAATTTCGAAGTTCATCCTCAGGCGACTCAAAATTACACTATTTCTCCTGGTAACAGCAGAAAAAGTAACTCAATCCTGCATAGTCTACCGCTGACAATTCGAGATTTGCATTCAAAAGGTAGATTCACAGTAAAAAGAGCTAGCTTATGACTTAACTCTGATAAAGGCACTCTAGTAAAGGCATCCTTCGTAGTTTCCAATGATCTAGCTTCACATTCCTAGATAAATTCGCCCATAAAAAGAGTCACCCGTAACTTATCTCTATTAGAGACATTATTATTATTAGTCTCCGATAGCACGCTGACACTTTTTACATTCAGTGCTGCTGGGTGTGAGCGTAATTGGAGCGTATTTGAGCATGTAAGTACTCGTAATGGTATACTTCTTATTTATTTTCTTTGCTTAGTTAATCAATTAGATTATATCACTAATGTTAAGATATTCCATGCAACAGATCCATACCAAAAATAGAAACAGATTGGAGCATCAAAGATTGAATGACCTAGCGTATGTCAAGTATAATCGTGCTTTAAAAGCCCGTTATGACTTGCGAAGTGTTATTGATCCAATCTCATTGGATAACATTGATCATAGTGATGAGTGGTGGGTTGGCAAGATGGGTGTTAATGTGGAAGCAGAAGATGAGTTGGTGTTTGGTGATGATAGCTTGACTTGGGGTGATGTTGCAATAGCGTCGGGTAGTGAGGACGTGTTGACATACACAAGGCGACAAAAGAGACAGTCAGGAGTAATTGCAACTAATGCCTCAAACTCCCGAGCTCCACGTATTGAGTCTGTTGACATAGAAGATGAGATTGTTTCGAATATTTTGGTCTTACATTAGTTTCGATATATTTTTGTATTTGAACAAAGAAGAGAAGATAGGCTCATTACATTCATAAAAAAAGATATGAGAATTTACCTTAAGTAATTAAGTAATTGAGCGTGAGAGCCAAATGAATCGAAAGATTCATGTTTGGTTCGAGAAGGGATTATGGAATTTTGGAAAGGAAGATGAGATTGTTTCTGATGAGTCAGGGGAAGAGGAGATTGGAGGCTATAGTTCTAGTGACACCAATGAGAATCACCCTATTGAGGAAGATTATATGGAGGAATATTATTTTAGTGATTAGAAGTGGAATCTAGAATGAGTTTATCTTTCCTTATTAAGACTTAAGTTGATGATTTGACGAAGTTTTACTTCATTATAAGCAATATATATTTATTATTTATGTGTCTATTATGTTCTCTAAATATTAGATATATATATTTAAAAAATTCTTCATAGTGCGCTTTTTTTCAGTGAAGGCCACGCTAAAGCCCTGTTGGAGGCTTTTCGCTTTTGACAACAATGGCATTGAGCCTCACAACCTAACCAACAAAGACACTCACTAAGGCAATCCATCCACAATATACTTCACAAACGTCTTAGTTCCACTAACAAACCTTTGATCACTAAGGCAATCCATCCACAATATGCTTCATGAATGTCTTATTTCCCCTAACAAATCTTTGATCATGCTCAGAAATAGTTTCAAAAGCATGTCAGATACTTGGGTAACACATACCAAACACATCTAATAAATCTGCATACAGTCTAAAAGAAAATATCTTTTTGATGCAAAAAGGATATATTTTACTGAGAAGCAACAGATAAGGAAATTTTGGCAAAAGGTGCCAAGTTATCTTTCAATTAGCGAGCATCCATGTCAACATCGTGTTGTGTTTTTAAGAAGACAGTTCAGGTGTCTGTATGTGGGTCNTGAACTGCTTAGCAGTTCCTCGTACAGTTTCATGCCATCAACAACATTAACCTACAGAAGACACTGCCGCATCTTAGTGTAAGAACAAAGAGATTTTAATCTTGTACCTAAGTTTTTTTTATAAGTAGGATTTCAAAAATTGCACCAAGAAGTTGCTAATATGTACAGTAGAAAAGACCTTTGGTTCCGTTTATGCAGGATTCCAACGTGTCAACAGAAGTATTTACATGATACACATAATTCAGATTACATCTAAGAATACAAAACATGTAATGTCCTAAACTTGACAAACTGTATTGCTGTATATTTGTTCTCAATTGAAATTAAAAAGCTGTAAATTTATCGTTACCGGTTTTCCATCGTATATCTCTGTAGCAACAAAAGTTTTTGGTACAACAGTAACATTCTGCTTCTCATTTGGTACTTCGCTGGATCGGGATTCATTCTCCGCCTTACAAGACCCTTAAAAAGTAAACATGCAAACAAGTACTGATTGAGAATTATAGTTAGCTAAGATAAACAACTAAAAAGGTAAACTAAGACCAAATTATTCCACACCCATCACAATCAATGTCCACAAAAACATTTACAACACAAGTAGGAAACATAATTCCCTTAATGGAAGTAGTTTATGGCTGATTAATGCAGTCTTTCTTTTTTCTATTTTTTTTTTT